TACCACTCACACTGAATCTTTAGGATGAGAGTCCAGCAATTGATCTTGAAATATCTGCATCGATACTTTTGAGGACTGTCTGGTGTTTGAGCTGGTCTAGTTGGTGTTCTGCAGAGCAGAAGGTCATCAGCATTTGGGTGTAACATTTCCTGGACACCACAAGTGTGCCCGTAAATGTATATAAAGCTGCTAGATCATTCGTCCAATCCAGACACGGCTGGTGGTGCACAAATCTGCTGAAGTAAGGCCAAATTTACAAGGAGAAAGGAGAACTGCAGATACTGAGAACAGGAAGCGTGTAGAGAACACAGGGCATTAATAGAATAGTCAGACTCCTTTCATACCTATAGGGGAAATTGTCTTTTCACTGACCACATTCTGTTCTCCATGAGACACACAGACACATATAGAGATCAGAGCAAGCTTGTGTCATGCCCTGCTAGTGTCAATCCTCCTGTGTGCCACACCCCCCTTGCTACCTCGTGTGGAATCCCCATGTTATCAGCTGTTTCGAGTTGTGTTAATTATACTGGTGAATTTAGGTCCATGTCTGTGTGTTTTGCGGGAGTCCAGTCATTAACATTGTAACGTTGTGCAGTGTTTGTTTGTTCCTGCCGTTCTTTACCTTGATTAAACTCCGAGTTCACCTGATTCCTTGAGTCCTGCTCCTGTTTCCCCAGTCCATGCCCTGCTTGGGGGTCATAGCGCATGGTCAGCTAGCATACAGTACCCCCAGAGCTGGGGGCCAAGGGCCTCGCTCAGGGACCTGATGGTGGCATCAATCTGCCATTCCTCACACACAGTGACCCCAGTCCTAACCCCAGTCCCCACCCAGCAGGCTATGGTTATGGATTGGCTCAGGGGGGTACCTCTTTGAATTGGGGCTGCACACTCCAGCCACAGGCCATCCTGAGCCCATCCTTGCTGCGCATTTGCTCCCAGATCCGGCTCCCGGTCTCTCTGGGATACTACAGGCTGGACAGTGACAGGCAGGAACTGCTACTAGGACTGTCAGATGCAGGAAGTCGAGAGTGAACCAGCAGAATGATCCTCATGTGGGCTTATCACAGGCTGGAGGAAGGGTCCACCCACTGCTGGTACTTTAAATCTGTTCTCTGGATCTGTACCTTTTTGCTTTTTAGCAGATACGTTTATCCAATGCAACATACGCTGCTAAGTCAGCATTGAAAGCAGGGTCAGCCAGTCCCTGGAGCAACACTAAGTATCCCAATAAGTACGACACTGCATAAATACACCCCCAGGCATCAACTCCATAATGAATACATGGAACAGGCAACGGATGGCAACAGTACACAATGAGACTTCAATGACAGATCTAGGGAGACAGACTAAACGTGGACTTAAATACACAAGACAAGTCGAAATAACAGGAAACAGCTGGTCACAATGGCATGGGGTTTCACATGAGGTAAATGAGGGGGCATGGCACACAGGAGGATCGGACAAGCCGGGCGTGACAGAACCCCCCCCCCCAAAGGCGCGCACTCCGGACCCGTGCCATCTCCAGCCGGGTGAAACGCCTCCGCTGGGCCATGGGCACATCGTCCTGGAGCGGAGAGAAGTACTGCCGGGGAACAGGGGGCCACACGTCACTCAGCTGTGCGATATGCTGGATGGGGTATTGGCTGCTGGTAATGCAGGAAATGAAAACGGCAGCAATAATATGGAGTCAGATGGCAATATGTCACTGATGGTACAGAACGGCCAGAACGTACATCCTCGCCTCTGTCGTCTTTTGAGTCGGCTCCCAGTGCCTCAGCTTTTAACCTGTGGGAGAACATTACTCTGGTCAGCCATTGCAGATGTTTGTCTCTCAGACAAGGCTATTTGCTCCTCCTCAGTTCCTCCTCCAGCTCATTCACCCTAGCATCCATCTTGAGCTTAGACTGCTTGACAGCCTCCAGTTCCTCCCTTTGGACGTCATATTCACTGGAGAGCTCGTCTACCTTGGCAATCAGGTCGTTCTTGAGGATGTTTAAGGCATTCCTGTGAAAGTAAAACAAGTTCTGCATGTAAACAAGAAGGACAAGTTGAAGTGGAAACTTCCAAAGCTCACTCAGTCTGTTTTGCCATTTTTGAGATAAGACCACCAATGACCTAAAGTCTGGCTTCTTCATCATATGTTACAGTACTGGGAACCAAAACTCAGTTCTCCTTAAAGTTCCATTAATAAAGTTCACAGAAATTCTCTCAAAACTGTTTCCTGTGGACTGAATAAGTTTTGGACATGTGCTATTCAATTGCCTTTGTAAAGGTCTTGCCATATATGACCTTAAGGATGGACAAACAGCCCCCCTCCCCTGTAGTATACCCCCGTTTACTTGGTCTCCAGGAGTAGTCTGTTCTTCACTTCCTTTCCCATCCCTATAAGATCAGGAACCAGAATTATCACAGATTCACAAATGATAATAAATAAAAAGCATGATGAAAAACATGTTTTATTCCTCATTTGAACACCAGGAGCAAAACTGGCAAGGAAAATATTACTCAGACAAGCATGAAAGATGAATGTCCCCCAGTTGGTATAGACAGTGAAGGGAATGTTAGCTGTACTAGATTTTCTTGCAGATCAGAAATACATTGATGATTTTTGCTGGAACATCTTATTACTATTTCATTTTGGAGTATAAAGAGTGCCAGTTCCAGCAGGCCAAACCATGCTCCTTCAGAACTACTAAGGGGATACTTGAGTCTTTGGTATTTACAGTATTTACTTGCTTTCACCTCCTTTTTTGTAACCTGACCTTCCACCACCTAGGATGATGA